CACCACATTTATGTTCGGCCCAAAGCTTTTTCAAATGTATTATGGGCTGTCTGGTGGTCCTAAGCCGCTCAATTAGGGTGGTCGAGTCCTATGGCAAGAAGGCGTGATTTGGATAAGAGCGAATGGGTCGAAGTCCTAGTACGATAAGGGGTCCTAATGCAATGAGGATTCTTGGCTGGAAATGACTACGGCCTGAAAAGGGGGTGAGTTTAAAGTCCTAACAGGAGTATGATTGGTCGAGATAAGGTTGGATCAGAATAAGAAGTCCTAGTCCAAATATGGTTTCAACTCGATCTTAAGGAGAATTTGTTGCTATAAATAGATGGCAGAGTGCATCATTCAAGCCCCCTTCAATTCAACACACAAATTGCCCTGCGCAAACCTCTCAAACATCTTGAGATTTTTTATTTTCTTTTTCCGCCAACACATCTTTAGTTTGGATAAACAGCAGTTTGGATAAACAGTACTGTTGCTGTAGAATCAGCCGACCGAGGAGCACCTTCAGTTTGGATAAACAGCACTACATCGAGGTCGACTGGTTACCTATCCAAGTCTCGGTCGAGAAGGGTTTTCGAATTCTTATCAGCGGATGTCATCTTATTAGCCTTCTCTGCGAAGTAAGGTGTTACAAGTTACTACATTCGGCGCATTGAACGCCGAGCAGTTTTATGATTGGATACTCACAAGTGAGTTTCAAAGTTTGGCATTCTGACGGCCGAACCACATTTATCATCAAGACATACATCTTTTTTGAGTACTTGTGTCCGTATAATTTAGAGCCCGTTCGACGTGCTTATACTCTTACGAATATAATCATCGTGACCGAACCCAGTGCCAACGATTCGTGAACTTCGCAGAACTAGCAGCCTTGTCTTCAGCCTCTAGAACCTGACGGCCGAGACGTGTTCCTTCCTGGGCCATAGTCGCAAGATCAAGAAGTCAGCAACCCACTCAACGTAACATCAACAAATTTTACTCCTCGGGCCTAGCTCGGCCGACGAGTTAGCACGCTCCGCATCAACTGAAGGACATAGTTAGCTCATTAGTTACTTAGCCTGTGCGCCACGTAGGCTTTGTAATTTTTAGGGTCAACAGTACCCAAAATTGTATTGGAGAACGAGCTGGGTTCATGGCTTGGTTTTGGAGAGTTCTATGGGTTTGGTTACTTCGAAGAAGAAAGTTGGTCCGGCGTCGTTTTGAAGGGTGGGCTAGGAGAGACCCAAGTTTCATTAATATTTGAATGAATTTGCAAAAAAAAAAAATAGTGGTTAATCTTTCCAAATGCGGCACTGAGCTCCGATCTGGGTATTTGGCTTGGCGTTGATGAGCTTCTCAGGAGTTGCACACTTGCACGGTCGACTGGGATTTTTTGGTGTGTGAAGACGGGAAGAAGATGACCATCATCTTTTTTATTCTTTTCCTTTTTTTTTTTTTTTTTTTTAATTTTTTATTCTTAATACACACTTTGTGTGTATAAACACGTTTTTTTAGAAAATGAGAATGAGAGAGGGAGAGAGGGAGAGAGAGAGAACGTATTTGGGGGGGGGGGCGGAGGGAGGTTTTTGTTTTCCCTTTTTTTTTAATATTGGATGTATTTTAAAATTACATGTAGGTGATGCTTCAATAAAAAAAATAGTAAAATTTGGACTTGTGAAATTACATTATTGCCCATCATTTTTTTGTGTGATAGCAGACTAATTTGTTTTTTCATCTTCTTTTGGTTGACAAAGAGGGTTTTATTAATTAGTAAAGATTATAAAAAATAAAAATTTTTATTTTAATATTTTTTAATTCATATAACAATATTTAATTATATTTGTGAGACCTAGTTATGTGCAACATCATCACATTATATAATATTTAACAAAGTTATGATAGAAAAACCACATTGATTTGTGACACTTATTCTTGTTTTTAAGGACTACATTGATTAATTTTCAATTTCAGGGATCATTTGTGATAAAAACCTTTAATGTTTAGAACAGTTGGTTTTTAGCCCATTAAAAAATCCTTTACTCTTGGGACCAGTCCATGGTAAGAAAGAAAAAAAAAAACAAAAAACTTATAAGAGTTTACATTAAAAATCAAGGGAAGGGTGAATTTCTCCTGTCTAGTTCTTTTGTTGCCAATTTTTTAAAGGAAGAAGAGTTCAGTTTCCGGTTGCTTTACTTGTGACGATCAGGACGGGTCAAATTCTTTCCTTTGTCTCCACTAGAGATATCCATTTTTTCAATTTGAAATCTGTTTGTTATTTGGTGTAACCCTTGAATTAGAGTTTGGTTTTCTTATAGTGTGTTTATTTCAAAGCATTTTTACAGCATATTCCATTGTTGGATTACTTAGTAGTGGATTTGAATGATTCTGAATTACTCTTGTTGTTTTTTGGCATGCACTAAGAATTTAAATGACTACAGACTTACTGAAAAACCCTACCGAGCATTATTCTCCAAATGGCCTGAACATATCTTTATGTAAGAAGCTCAAAGTTTCTTTCGTGAACTCGTTATATTTTTGGCCCTGAGTTATCTTATGAGAACCATTATAAAACTTGGTTATATTCAAATTTGTGGTTGTTTATCTACTATTCAGTTAGCATTTTTCATTTCAGATTTTGACACTTTAGGATGAAATCGATTTCGTTTCCAGAGTCTTTGAAAGTGATTTGGGGCTGCTGAAGTTTTTACGAAAAAAAAAAAAAAAGCAGCATGCCTGTCTTAGACTTCAATTTTACAGTACTTTCCGAACTTGGAAACCCAATTGACATTTTAACACAAGTTAGTTTTATATGTACTTTGAATCCTGAAATTTTCACACTTTTTAGTTAAACAAGCTATTTTTGGTGAATTTTACGGTATATGTTATTTCTGCATTTTGTATTACAGCAAGAAGTCCTTTATTTTATTTGTTAAAGTTACACTTGTAATTTTGGTTACTATATTTGTTGAGTTTATTTTATTTGTTAAAATTCCAATACCAATATTGTCCTCATGGAACCATCAATTATTAGGGTGAGGTTTTATCACAAAGTGATATCAGGGTGTGGAATATATATATATATATATATATATATATATATATATAAATTGTATATTATTTTGTTCTATTTTAGATGTGAAACATTTCTCTAAGGGTAGCTTCGAGGCCAAAAAAGATTAAATTTCGATATGAAGGAGGTATACCTGTGAAAACTTACATACGAGACATTGTTGCTTTAGTTAATGTCGATACCCGCGTTAGAAATTAAGGGTTTTAAGAAGAAGGATCCAACACGTTCGTTTGACTCATCTTTCTATACGTGCCTGTTGGTGATTCATAATTATATATGTTTGGATGATCTCATATTTCTAGATTCAACATAAAGTCTTGGAATTTTAATCCATTAGAGATTGTTAAACTGATGATATGTTAAATCATAATCCAATGGGTCAAAAGTAAAATCGCGTGAGTTGGAAACCAAATAACTTGGTTGAAATATACAACGGTTGTAAAACTAATGTTTGAGAGAGAGAATAGAGGGAGGGCCGGCTAGAGAAAGAGAGAAGGAGAGATGGGCTTGAGGAATTGATCCTTGTGTAATTCATGTTGCTTAGTGCTTTTATTTATACTAGTTATGATGAGTTTTACTTGCTTTACAAGTAATACAAGTTAAACAAGAAAAGACTTTTTAACCAAAATGGTCATTAAGATTTGTATACCTCTTTACTTTTGTCTCTGAGATTTGAAATCAATACAAGTGGTCTCTGAGATTATTCACCATGAATCATTTTGGTCCTTCTGAAAATAGTTATGTTAAATAAAAATTAAAATGACATAACTACCCTCAATCTAATAAACAATAGGCCAAAATGATTTAACAAAAAATGAGGGTATTTTTATCATTTTATCTTATTTAATGAAGATTTTTCACGGAATGACTAGAATGATTGATGGTGGATAAACTTGAGGACCAATTCTATCAATTTCAAATCTCAGGGACCAAAATGAGAAGTTATGCAAATCTCAGGGACCATTTTAGATAAAAAGCCACAAGAAAATGATCTTCTAAATCCTATAAGATTCCTATTTCTAGTTTACACAATCACACTAATTAAAAAAAAAAAAATACTATTTACAACAAAAATCTTAACATAAGTTTACAAAGTTGTGGAAATGCTCTCCATTTTTCTCATGGTGAACTAAACATGAGGAAATATCTAATTGGACTTCGGACAAGTCAATTACCTACTCTAGCATAATATACTTTGCCATTGCAAACTTGAACGTTTTAAAATAATTAATTACGAAATATCCAAAAGAGAATGCCACTAGACCAACAAACAGGAGAAGACATAGATGTCACGTTTTAATACCTAATAATAGTAGGGAGAATACTTTTGGCACAACATTTTAATACCACTTGAAGTCAAGTAATACATGTAATTAATCTCCCATAAGATAAATCATTTCATACATAAAAAATATCATGTTAAATTCACATGTAACACAAAAATACGCAAAATCATTGTTTTATATCACTTCTCCATAAATCTTTCTTCTCATGTGACTTATATGTATGTGGTGAGTAAGAGAAGTGATACAAAACCGATTCGGAATGGTAGTCGACACTCTACACATACAACAAATAGGCAAAATCATTTAGAACATATATACTTCTAGACTTTTTTATTTTCTTTATGTAAACTGTTCTGTAAATAGTTTTAACTTCTTTGGAAAATACAGATATTATCTGTAATTCTTCTATATTTACTCAAAAAAATTAAGAGGATGTTTTCCATATAGTTTTATTAGTAAAGCGATGTTCGCGCTCCAACTTGCACATAAGCGTATGAACACATTATAAAGCGTCAAAAGCTCTCTCCTCACACAGTAAGATCCATGCATAGTTTGCACACACACGGACACCATGAAATAGTAAAACCGCGTCCAACTGTCATTTTGTATCTTTCTCTGCCCTCCCACCTCAATGTTACTCAACCCTTCTCATTCTTTCTTCATTCGCAATGGCCCGAATCAAATTCATCGGCATCCTGAAAGACAAAGCCTCAATCCTCAAAGCGACTCTATGCATCAACGGCCGAGTCTCCGTACACCTCGCTGTCCTCCGCGCCACCACCCATGACCCGTCAAGGCCGCCTTCAGAGACACGAATCGCCTCCGTGCTCGCCCTAGGGCTTTCCTCCCGCCTCACTGCATGCGCATGCATCGAGGCCCTCATGGACCGACTCCACGTCACTCGGAGCGCCTTTGTTGCCCTAAAATGCCTCCTCACAATTCATAACATTATATCAAGAGGGTCTTTTATTCTCAAAGACCAGCTTGCTTATTACCCTTGTTTTGGGGGATACAATTTTTTGAATCTCTCCATGTTTTGTGACAATTCCGATTTGTGCATGCTGGAATATTCATCTTGGGTCAGATGGTACGCCGGTGTGATCGAGCAGAATCTCATGGTGTCTAGAGCAATTGGGTATTATCTCAATTCGACAAAAACCGATGGTAATAAAAGAGACAAGGAAGAGAAGGCACTTGCTCTTTTGGACTCGGATTTGGCAATGGAGATTGAAGTGCTTGTGGAATTTGTGGTACGAATTTGCGACGCACCCGATTCATTAGAACTTCAGAAGAACAATTTGGTATACGAAGTGGTGAGAGCAGCGGGCGAAGATTACAGGTCGATTCAGCGTGAAATTGTTGTCCGAGTCAAGGAAGTTGGAGATAGAATCGACTCAGTCGAGGGTTTGAGTTCGGATGAGTTGACTCGGTTGATTGACGCATTGGAGAGGCTGGAGAGTTGCAAGGGGAAGTTGATGCTATTGTTTGTGAACAGGAAGAGGAATGATGGGTTGTGGGAGTTGGTGAAGGAGACGAAGGCTAGGCTTGTGGAGATGCAGGAGAAGCGAGAGGAGAAGAGAGTGGTGGTTTTTATGGGTAGGAACGAGTCAGCCGAGTCGACTCAATGTTGGAACCCATTTCTTGAACCAGGACAGTTGTTGCTGTTACCATCTGGTGGTGCGTGGGTAGGCTTGGGACCGACACCAATAGCCGTTTGAACAGCAGATTATCGTGTCTTGTCGGGTTTTTGTACAGTGGTATGCATCTAATTGTATGTGTGAATTATATTAGCATTTATACATAAGCGATTACCAACTGTTAATAATACATTATGGAATATAAATGTGAACCGATGACTCATCATCACGCATTGCCCTTGTAGGAGAATACGAGCACTAGCTACTCCGTATATATGTTTCTAGATTAAATTAACAAAAGAGTTATCTTTTCGTAATCAACAAAAACGAAAAAAGTGACTTTTGATCTTCAAACAATGTTCTTTGGTGTGAACACCTAAAATGGGTACTTTGACAACCCAATATTTGGTGTCACAATTCTTCCAACAATGCGGCTGTAACAGTGTGAATGTATTTTGACATGCCAAAAAGAATGGTTGAAAGAATTTTTTTATTTTTGGGACAACAACAGCAACGGTGTGGCATTATTGTTGTTAGACAAAAAATTGAATGGGGTCTGTTTTTCTTTGGAGAGAAATGGACAAAAGAGAGAATGAAATTCTAGCCAGGTTTGCATTATTAACCCAAAAAATGAAGTTTGATTTTTCTCATGGCCTGGCTTTTGATGGGGTTTTCCATGACGTGTTTGACGAAATGACAATAAGATAATTCTGATGTTGATTGTGTTCTTATCTTAATTTCTTTCTGTGTGTTGCTAACTATGTTCGGAACAATAAAATGCTGACTTTGGTTATATTGTTGCGTTTTCAAGGCACTGTATGCTGTATATGTACCCAAAACAAAGAAAAGAAAAAATTAGAGTAATTAATCTTCATCACTTCATCCTGCCCAGTCAACTATAGTAGGCCTTTCATAATTGTTCTCCTAAAAGAAGTGGATGGAAATAATTGATAAGAAACGCCATTAAGAGAGAGTATTGAATTAAGAGAGAGTATTGAAGGAGTGTTGTGAAATAGACAGATTATGAGAGTTGAGTTTTGTATGCTTCAACTTGAGAATGGGTGAATCACAACATCCCTTTAGGGGTTTCACAAAATAGAGCATATACAACACTTGAAAAAAAAAAAAACACCCTATAGAGCATTAAACATGCTTCAAAGAAAAAGTCTCACTTGACTTCGATTATATTCAATTATCTTAGACGCGAGTTCAATACCAAATTATAACTGACACAAAGCTAAATATATACGGCTTCACTCCAATTAAAAGGTTGTATAGAAACACAAAGGTCGTTATTTCACCACACTATTATTTCTCCATACTACTATTTCACCCACATGCAGGTATCCATATATTTACAACGAGTTCTCTTTACCTATTTGTTGGGAAAACGTTTAAGAACTACTCTGTGGTTAAGCTTTTGAATTCACAGGGATGGCCTAAAAACCAAAATGCTACATCAAAGAAAGTTGGTTTAAAGTAGCTCGAAATATTTATGCTCAAATCATTCTGTTTCCTTTTTTTTTTTTTCATGTATATTCAAGAAACTAGAGTAGCCTAATAAACTGCAGGTAGCATTTCATGTATATTGTTGCTCCTCTGTCTGATCATCTGGATTAGGAGTTGACCACTTATTTACACGCTGGCTGGCCTTCTGAGCCTGCAAAATTTGTCAACCAATATTATGCTCGTTTCAGCTTGGACATTTTTTTTTTTTTTTTTTGCTGAAAAGAAACAAGTGTACACGTAGCTTTTATTTTTGGTGAAATTAAAGAAATAAGTGGCTTTTTTATGATCGAATCTTATACCTCTTTTTCCCAATCACGTCGCGATGTCACGATGCCCAAAATCACTGTTTGGACAGCAGTTCCGCCAAGGATCATCCCACCCCATATGCCCTATTTTTATATGAAATTTTAACAACCATATATAATGAGATAATGTAGTAAACTGATGCTTGAAGAGTTTGTTAGAAGTACATATAATTATGGAGTCAAAACACACAATAACTAGGTTGTCCATTGAGATAGATGAAAGAGCAAAATGTACCGTAACACCCAAGTCAGCGACCCATCCCATTACAAATCCTAGAGGGAGCCCAATAATGTAGTAGCAGAAAAGATTTATGTATGCCACCCATGCCTGCCATCCTGAGCCAACAGCTACTCCTGTGATACAAGTAACGACCATCTTCTTTACAAAGGAACAAAACACTAACGTTTTAGGCATAAAAAAAGTACCATTGTTAATTTTAAAGAAGTGCTATCGTACGAAGGCAGTTGTTGGACACCTACATGCATCTATGACCAGAATTAGCGCAGGCATGCACAACTAACAATAACAAAACGATTACTTCTACCTTCGCGACACTAATATTAAATCTGGAAGTGTTGTTTAAGCTCTTGAGATAACTCAAATGATGATGTGCAAAGTTAGAATTAGGATAGTTCAATGATTTGATTCCCACTTATGTTACCCAAAGACAAAACACGACCATCGTAATCACTCCACAGGAATTGAATATCTAAGACATGTAGCTAACAATTTATGAAGGGGAAAAATTTAACCTGACAAGACGGGTTGAACACCGTTAAGTAGAATTGTGATACCCAGGATGTAAGACATTTGATTAACTCGTTGGATGACTTCACTGCTTGTTGTGAATATGTATCCAAAACTATCACGGAATGCAATAATAAGTATGCAGAAGAATAGGGCAATCAAGCTGGATTCTGCCACAGATACTTTTGCTGCAAATTTTGCTGCCTGACCATTTCCAGCACCCAGCTCATTCGATACTCTTACTCTGTGAGAGCCATGACAAATTCTTTTTAAATTTTTTACTTCAATCATAATGCAGACTCACAAAAGTAGTAACAGATAAGATAAAAAAATCATTTACCCAGTTCCAGCGAAGAAGGCTAAATGAATCATGAGCTCCCAAGCATTCATAGTCATGCTGCAATAAGAAAAAAGGTCAAAACTCACTGTTGATATGGTCATTTGCATTTTTATCTTTTCACTAAATTACCAATTGCAACCCAAATTCGAATATATGCTAAGCAATGTTGATAAAGGTCTAGTACCAAATTGATAAGGCATCCACAGAAAGAGTCGCGTTCTGTAAGTGTCCAGTCATCAATATCAAGATTCTGTAGTACCAAAATTCCAAGCTGCATAAGTGATTAACAACAACACTTGAGATCAAGGATGATTAATTTTAAAACACGCGATATTAAACTGTCCAATCAAACCCTTATTACATTTCTAATCATCGAACCATAACAACACCAACAATTAGGGAAAAATGATCACTGTAATAAAATGCTTACAAGAAAATATTGACTTGATCCTTTTTAGAAGTAAAATAACTCTCTCACAAGAAACTTTAAAATTCTATTAACTGCCGACATACTGTGCATCTGCTGAGCAGTCCGGTATGTTGCTTAAGTTGACATAAATATTTTTCGATAATTAAAACTTCTCACTTAATGTTGTATGGAAAAAATTAGTAAAGCAGGGACATGGTTAACATTTAAAAGAAAAAGATTTACCAACACTTCAAATTTTTATGATAGAAAAAAAAAACATGAAGAAGAAAGGAGAGATCTATACCAAAGCATGACCCCAGAAGCAGTAGATAGTTTGACAAATTCCCAAAGGCCAGAAAAGGCCTCCATAGAGAAACCAGTCCAACTGAGTGGACACCAACCACATGTCACATATCCTAGTAGCACGAAAAAGGAAACCCACCAAGAGATATCCAAAGCAATAGCAGCACCCACAACCCCAAAGTCTAAAACATACACAAAAAGCCAACTTATCAAGGCATGAAACACCAAAACCACCAAGGCAACCCACAAAGTCACAAAGTTCTTCAGCTGGCTCTGCAAGAACCTCTGCAATGGGAAAAGAAACGCATAGCTGAAGTGCATGGGTAAAAGCCACAAAGACACCACTCCCGACATCTCTGCAACGTCATCGGACTGTCCTAATAGTTTCAGAATCGGAGAGGCGAAAATGTATATAGGCAAGAGCAGAATGCAACATAGGAACAACACAATCCATGACCTTTGGAGGTATATCCCCAACATATGGTGCCTCTTGGCCCCAAAAGCCTGCCCACATAGTGTCTCTAGTGCGCTTGCCATGCCTAACTGGTTGATTGTGACAAAAAAACAAAACAAAAATACAATTATGTCAAGACGTAAACATATAATAGAGCCCAAAGCTATTTCAATTGGCTACGGGTACCACATCATTTGATTTACAAAATTTTGTTTAAAAATTTGGTATCTTTAGCATTTCCCTTGCTCTATAACAATGTTAACTTTGAATAAATTAAAAATTTATTATATTGAAGAATTGGAAAAACCAAAGCAAACCTAGCAGCCACACCGTGAAACCCAAGTCCCCCACCCCTGCCCACCCCACAGGCGGTTCGGCGAGTCTGCGACAGCCTGCCCTCCCCTCCCCTCCCCACCCCACCCCACCCCGGTTCAAGATCTGGTGTGGATTGAAAGTTCTGCAACGAATAAAATGCAAGTCCACATTAATCGTTAAAATCAATCCCCCTTCACCAAAATCACATTTTAGATAAACAGCACTCTTACTGAAATCAAACTCAAAAACAACAAATGGAAACCAAAAAGTTCAAATTGATCATAGACCCATTAACCCATAACTTCGAAAATCGAAAAATTGAAAGAAAGAAAAAAAAAGGATTGTTAGAGGAAAAAATTGTATACTGTAGACACAAAATAGATGGGGGCGGGGAGGAGAGAGAGAAAAGGTTGCAGCCGGCAGGGTGCGGTGGTCAGGGTGGGCGGGGTCATGGGATGGGATAGCTGCTAGGTTACAGGTTAACAATGTACCGTTAGAGTTGAGTGATTGGAAACGTGTCGATTAACGACAAAGGAGACAGAGAGGGACACGGAAATAGGGACACCAGACCTCTGGCCATTTACATTTCTAGTTTGGAATTGTGTACAATTTGAAAGTCGGAATAGCACGTCACACAGAAAAAATTATTATACAAACAGACTAAAATTTATCGTATTTTGATCATTACCAGGAGACCAAAAGTGAAGCCGACAATGACATTGTTGGCAATGGAAATGGAAGCGAGTTCAACCACACCAAGGTGTCCGGCAAAGGCTTGTGTTATGACGATCATGGAGAAGGCAGACAAACGGCCGATGATGGCGGGACCGACCACGCGCCATAGTTTCTTGGATTCTATCCAAACTCTTGACCAAAGGTGTGTATTTTGTTGATCATCATCGGTGGTAGTAGTAGTAGTGTTTTTGCTTGATGATTCTGCTAATAGAGATTGGTGAAGATGAACTTCTTCTTCTCTGTCAACGATTCCCATCGTACAAATAATTTCCGGCCCAGTGGGTTGGTTAGTTGGAAAAGTAAAACTAAAAGAGTCGTGACTTGAATAACAGATAATAGCTAGCTGACGATTAGAAGTCGTTGCAGAAACGTTGTTTAAAAAGGTAGATATTAGCAATCCAGCCAGGTTCCCACCCCACAATTATTTTTATGGAACGTCGTGTCTGACGTCCAGAAACCCATAAACAGAAAAAACAAATCAAGGCAAGTGATGAAGTACAACAAACATTGGGCATCATGTAATATTTAATCTCCTTTGACATGATTTTAAAGATAAATGTTGAGAATATTGCCTCCGTTAGAGAGAAAGAGGAAACAGTAAGTTGGTTCTTTAATGCAAAGGAAGGCTATGTAGGAATTATATCTAATAATAATTCTTATATTTTAATAATTTTAAAATGTGAAGAAAAATGTTTTTATATCCTTTTACATCAAATAATTTATATCTAAATTAAGTTGGTGTCATTCTTTTTGAAGTGGAACTAATGTTTGTATATGAATCTTTGCCAGCCGAAAAAAATAAAAAAATTTTAACGAAAAACTTCCGGTACTGTTCATTTTAATGAAAAATTATATTTTTACATTAAAAAGTCAACTATGGTACTATTCACGTTACCCTTTATTTTGTCATTTTCGTTAAAACTCAAAGTTTTCAAGCCATTTTTCATTAATTTTTCTTAAAAATAAAGAACTGATGGATATGCCCTTAGCCAAATGACCACTGCTTATAGATGTAAAGTTACATCTGTTTAACAAGCAGCATTTGGATTTTATATAAACCTATGAATTCTAGTTGTGTAATATAGAGAATTAGCGAGTCAAATCTTATTCTTGAGAAATAAAGTTTCTTCATTTTGTTTCTCTCATTATTTGTTGTTCAATTCCGAATCATATCTTGAGAGTACGAAATATATTGGGCTTGTTTTCGAATTATAGATTGTTGAAACTTAGGAGACGGTCTCCTACCGAACTACAAGCACAAGAGTAAGGAAGAAATTCTGTCTTGATAACATTGCATTTATGCAAGTCTCAATTTTCAAGTTTGTCAATATTTCTAATTTTTTTCTCTAATTGTTTAACTTTTTTCTATTTGAACATTTCGTCACACAGTGGGCAATCTGGTCATATTTTCTAAGAGTACCTATCTATAATATGAAAAGAAAAAAAACTTGAATTTTCAATTCTATTAGGTACCAATGCATCGTTCTCAGCCGGAGAAGAAAAAGTCATCCTTGAATTTTTAAATACTGATGATTGTAGTGTACGTAGAGAAAAGCCTATAAAAACAAGACCTAGCAGGTAAAAACCACCATTGTTTAAGATCTAGCAGTTCGAGGCCATCATTGTTTAAGATCTTAGCAGGTAAAAAACATCATTGCTTGACCACGTACGAATTTTACAGAAATTTAAATCCGATTATCCAAATATAACACAAAGTGGATTTATTCCATTTTATTTATGTTCCTCTAATTTATTGTCTCGGTTAGAAGTCGACCAGTTGTTCACACGCTGCATAGCCTTCTGAGCCTGCATATAATTGATCAAAACCATTGTTGGACTTGGATTACAACAGTGTAACTTTGACTTGTATACTTAAAGAAGAAGGATAAATAACCCGAAATTCTTATGTTTATTAAACCATACCTCCATTTCCCAATCATGTCTTAATGTCACGATGGCCAATATCGCTGTTTGCACAGCAGTTCCACCGAAGATCATCCCACCCCATATACCCTGTTTTCCATTTAAAATTTAATCAATTAGTTGATCCTTTGAGATTTTATTGTAAGTAGTAACACATGAATTGGAATTCAAACCGAGGCTATTCAGAAGGCATATCCTAGCCAGAGACTAAGAAAACCAAATGTGTAATTTTGACTGTCTAAATAGTAGTAACACATTTTTTACATTTTTCCGTACATTAAAATGATGAATGATGACGGTAACAATGGATCAAGATCCTTTCCTGATCTATGTATGGGGATCCTCATGACCAAGAAGTGTGGGCCGTTGAATGAAAATCCAACGGCTACAAACAGGGAGGTCCCTTTAAAGTTATAATAATTATAGCCGTTGGATTTTCATCCAACGGCCCACACTTCTTGGTCATGAGGATCCCCATACAAAGATCAGGAGAGGAACCTGATCCGGTAACAATGCACATTCTATAGGAAAAATCAGATCACTTTGTCTAATGACTTCTTTTCAATGTTGCAAAAAAATTTCGAATTCGAATATTTTCCACTGCTTGAGGATGTAAAAGAAATCATTCGAGGAGAGAACATTCTGTGTAACTTCGAGAATGAAACATACCGAAACGCCGAAGTGGAGAGCCGATCCCATTACAAATGCAAGTGGGAGCCCAAAAATGTAGTAGGAGAGAAGACTTATATATGCCACCCATGCTTGCCATCCTGACCCCACCACCACTCCTGTGAATATACAAAGATGGATTTGAAAGAAAAACAGAAGCACTACTGTATATAGAGAGTATAGAATAGACCATGTGATACCAGTATTAAGGTTAATTATTCTACCACCAATTTACTGTTAAAAACTTGATGAAGGATCAAAGTTAACCTGCCAAGACGGATTGAACACTGTTAAGTAGAACTGTTACGGCCAAGAGATACGACATTTGATCAACTGCTTCGATGACATCAGGACTCGATGTGAATACGTGGGCGAACTTGTGATGGAACATGATAACAAGTACACATAAGCACAGACCGATTGAAGCAGATTGTGCCATTGAAACCTGTTGTGCAAATTTAGCTGCCTTCCCATTTCCGGATCCCAGCTCATTTGCCACCCTAACTCTGTGAGTTTCATAACAAGAATTTCAGAAGACTCTTGAAGAATTACATGCTAGAAATGCATTACAGTGCGTAAGTAAATAATGTCACAACCAAGAATTACATGACTGAAAGAGATGATAAATATGGTACGTACGCCGTGCCAACCAAGAAAGCCAAATGAATCATGAGGTCCCATACATTTACAGTCGTGCTGCAAGATGTAATCAAACCAATAATCAGAATGGCAAACGACCAATTTAAGTCTGCTTTGTTAACAATTTAATTTTTAATTTTTGAGTTTTACATTTTGTGTTAGCGACAAAGGAAAAATATATGGAAGAAATGAGGATGAAGAAAAGTGGATGAAGGACTGGGAAATATGGGAAGATATACAAGGAAAGACATAATGAAAACCTAAAATTAAAAATCAAAAACTAAAGTTTTAATTTCAAGATTTTGCTTTCATTCATTTTTCCTTTTTTCTTCTCATGCATATCTCATCGTCCTTCTTCATCTCTAATTTCCTCTATATACTTCCTTTCATATCTGAAGCACAAAAGTAAAATGGTTATCAAATGGACAACTTTGTACTTTTCAGATAGATCCTTGTAATCTTGAGTTTTAAGGTCTAAGTCCTTATAAGGTTTTGATGTATTGAAGTCCCTGTAGTTAGGTTTCACTTTTGAACAAGTCTCATAATGTCTCACACACGCATCTTCTTGTTAACTATATTTGAAAAATTAGCGAATTGAAGAGAAAATCAGAAGAAAGATGAACACAGAGAGTTTGGAGAGAGAAATATGAGATTTGTGTTAATTAAAAAAGAAATATTACACAATTCTGTTTTTATAAGAGAAAACCTAACTACTCTAACCAAATACTAACAAACTTACTATATTGTTGACTTGTACAATCATTTAACTAATCATCTAACTAATGATGTGGAACCTTAATACACTTACCATATTGACAAGGCATCCACAGCAAGAGTTGCTTCCTCTAAGAACCCAGTCATCAGTATTAGGATTTTATAGCTCCAGAATTCCAAGCTTCAAACAAAAATAAGAACAAACAATAGTTGGCTAAAACGTGTCTGACTGTTAAGTATGGTACAAATGTATATGTGCAAGAAAAATAAAAATAAAAAGAGCAAATTAAGGAAGAAATTTAGTACCACAGCAGGACCCCAGAAGCAGCAGAATATTTGGCAAATTCCCAAATCCCAGAAAATGCTTGTATTGAGAAACCAACCCAACTCAATGGACAACCACCAGACACAACATACCAAAACAACCCCAAAACGCAAGCCCAGCATGAGATATCCAGAGCAATGGCAGCACCCACAATCCCAAAATCCAACACACTCACCAAAACCCAAGTTACAACTGAATGAAGCACCAAAACCGCCAACGAAATCCACAAGGTCACAAAGTTCTTGAGCTGGCACTGCAAGAACCTCTGCAATGGGAACTGAAATGCATAGCTGAAGTGCAAGGGTATGAGCCACAAAGCCACCGCCCCAGACTGCTCCGCCACCTCATCAGACTGTCCGACTAGTTTCAGAATCGGAGACGCGTATAGGTACACAGGCAACAGAAGAATGCAGCACGAAAACAGCACAATCCATGACCTTTGCATGTATATGCCCAGCATGTGGTACTTTTTGGCACCAAAAGTCTGCCCACATAGAGTGGCTAGAGCGCTTGCCATCCCCAACTAATTGATTGCCAAAACAAAAAATATATATAGTTTACAATTACGATTTTGTTCATGAGTTAGATCCTTACGAGTGAGGAGCTAATCCTTAATTTATGCAATTCACAAGATGACACGTCAACAAAAGGATAGTGATTTTACACTCTTATTTTCTCGTTCTGCACTAATCTCCTTATTTTTAGTCCCTTCTCCTGTGATTTATTGTATTCAAGGGATAGAAGGGGGGAAACAAACCGGGAGAAGTGCACGGGAAGAGAAGGGGAGTGTGGAAATCACATACCTACACAATACTGACTCATTACACATGCAATAACTTTTGTTGTTTTCTTTTGCTTATGTGTCATATGGAGGAAAAACTTCTTATAAGAAGCCAAATATTTTCCCTTTTGTTATCAATTTCGGCAAATTACCAAGTATTATGATTAAGGTTCCAAGAAACATTATTGAAATCAGACTAAAACAAATAGAAGAATGTAATTAACCCATATCATAATATATTTTATACATATATACATATAAATGTCAAGAGTAAAAAAAGCCAACTGTATATATTTACAATGTCTATCTGTGAAATAACCAACAAAATATATAAGAGAGTAAGTGTTTGATATGTATACCAAGAGACCATAACCAAAGCCAACAATGATATTGTTTGCGATGGAAATGGAAGCAAGTTCAACATCGCCAAGGTGGCCAGCAAAGGCTTGGGTGATGACAGTCATGGAGTAGCCAGCCAAGCGGTTAATGATATCAGGACCTACAATGTGCCATAGTTTCTTGGACTCTATCCACACTCTTGATAAAAAGTCGGTCACTATTTTCTTCATCTCAGAAGTACTTGATGATTCTATCTCCAATAGGGAATATTTTTGGCGGTCCATTACTTTTTCCTCGACACTTCCCTTCATCAAAACAGTTTCTTGTTAACTAATGGACTAGATGACAGGGTAGGTTGGTCTCTGATTAAAACTACGGTTAAATGAAGACAGCTTCAATTCTTGACTAAGTGTGGATGTCCACATTGAGGATTGTGAGTTCGGAGAAATGTTTTATGTTGATGCCCACACCTGTTATAATATAGATGGATGACATGGTTGATATTTGATAAATTACTTTTGTAATATATGCCTCAGTGCCTTTTTTCCCTTATCAAGCACAAATTTCAGATTAGAGAGGATTAATTCAGTAAAGAACTATAAAATCGGTTCTTTTTTCATCCATTTATAGAGACTCTATTCAAAAGTAAAGGAGATCGTAACCAAAAAAGAGATTAAGAGAATTACTGTTGAATGAACATCTAATTAATGAGTTAAACGGTGCAATAAGTTAATTATGTTTCGGATTCTTAAAGTCGAATGAATGGACGAGTAAGGAAAAAAAATTTATATCCTTTCTTCCTTAGTTGCAAGCGACCACGTACGTTAGTAAAAAATTTGTTGACAGTTTTACCTCGACAAATAAAATTGTCATAAAGGTTACACAAACTGAGGGATCAATAATGTAACGCTTGTAACTTAGAGGATCGTTTAATACAACTTTTATAAAGTAGAGGTCATTCAGTACTACGGTATAATGATGTTCTTCTTTATTTGTAGGTGAGAGGTTTTGGATTCGATTCTTGCCAAATGCTAAATTGAACCATATTATTGTTGGCCCATTTTAAAGTTAAGCTCGTCTTTCTCTTAGTGTAGACACTATCGTTTGCTCAAAAAAAAAAAAAAAAAGGGAGAAGAAACTATTACGAACCGCAAACTAAAGGGGTGCGGAGTATGTAAAGGACCAATATACTAATAACGGACAAAACGAATTGCAGTACATATATAATCAATTACAACGCAGCATCTCACTTATTTTTTTTTAATGGTTAAAAGTAAGCCACAAAGTTCAAAAAACAAAACTGAAAATATGTCTTTAGCTTCTAAAACTCAATTGTCTCTGCATAAAACTTGATATAGATTCCACATCAATAAATTCATTAATTATATTTGACTTTACACATTGAAAAGTTTTTTGATGCCTAAACTACCCCTATTTTAATATTTGATGTATACAATTAATTACATGCGGATTGTAAAGGAGAATTAATGATTTTGCAAAAATAAAAAAAAATAATGTTATAAATTCATTGCCTAATATGTAATAACAATAAAGCATGCCTAATATATGTAATAAGACATGCTTAATAAAGTCAATAAAAAAAATATTACACTAATTAATTTACCTATATGTAAATTTATGATTAGCAAATAACTTATATTTTGTAGGTAAATTAATATTGAATCAAATAACATTCCTTCATTTGTAGGCAATTTATTTTCCATGTACTATTATATATACATATATATATATGTATTTATATATATACATATATAATACATGTCACATCCCGACCTGGGGTGGATCACTTCCCGGGCCTGCTCCACCACCGTAACACGATATTATCCGCTTTGGGCTTACCATTCCCTCACGGTTTTGTTTTGGGGAACTCACGAGCAACTTCCCAGTGGGTCACCCAACATGGGATTGCTCTAGCCCCCTTCTTGCTTAACTTCGGAGTTCCTACGGAACCCGAAGCCAGTGAGCTCCCAAAAGGCCTCGTGCTAGGTAGGGATAGGAATATACAAATAATGATCACTCCCTTGGGCAATGTGGGATGTTACAATCCACCCCCCTTAGGGGCCCGACGTCCTCGTCGGCACACCACGGCCAGGGTTAGGCTCTGATACCAATTTGTCACATCCTGACCAGGGGTGGATCACTTCCCGGGCCCGCTCCACCACCATAGCACGATATTGTCCGCTTTGGACTTACCATTCCCTCACGGTTTTGTTTTTGGGAACTCACGAGCAACTTCCCAGTGGGTCACCCATCATGGGATTGCTCTAGCCCCCTTCTCGCTTAACTTCGGAGTTCCTACGGAACCTGAAGCCAGTGAACTCCCAAAAGGCCTCGTACTAGGTAGGGATGAGAATATACATATAATGATCACTCCCCTGGGCGATGTGGGATGTTACAATACTAATTTGTGGATAGATTTTCGATAAGATTTTCAACCAATCCCGATGCGCCATGTGTCAGTATTTGTTTACAATAATTTAGCCGAGATTTCGATCAGATTTTCAACCAATCTTGTCATGCCACATGTCATTATCCGAACGTACTATTTTGTGGATAGATTTCCAATTTGATTTTCAACCAATCTTGACACACCACGTGTCACTATCTGTTTACAATAATTTAGCCAAGATTTCGAAAAGATTTTTAACCAATCACGTAGTGCCATGTGGCATTGTCCAGAACCTCATCCTTCCTATTTCTTGTCCATATAAACCCTACATTCCTACATCCATCTTCATTCACACACCAAACTGAATCCTTTTTTTTAGCTCATAATTATTCTTCATTGTTTTTAAATCTTGAGTTCTTACAATGTGTTTGTCAAGGAGATTGTATGAGCAACAAAAAAAATTGTTGGCATAACAGGAAGAATTGTTTAATCTCAAGGAAGGTAGAGATGAGGCTTTCCCAATGGAAGAGGATGAGGATGCTGAACATACAAGGCAGAGGGCCTCACATTCCTTTCATGTCATGGAAACTATGGGTCAGATATCCAAACCCAGACGTGCTGCAAACTTGGATAAAAAGCGGGAAATACGAGGTAAAGATCTCTTGGAATATTATTTTATCCCCCCCAACAGTTTATGCCTTGATCATATTTTTAGACGTCGTTTTAGAATGCTATGAAGTTTGTTCGACAAAATCATTAGTGCTATTTGCAACCATGATCCATACTTTGTGCAAAAAAATTGATGCTTTTCATGTTCTAGGTCTTCTTCCTGAGTAAAAAATTATTGCTGCCTTACGGATGCTTGCATATGAAGTATCTGCAGATCAAGTGGATGAGAAAACGAGTATGGGATAATCAATAGTTCTAGAGTCCCTGATGCAGTTTTGCTCCACAATCGAAGCCCTCTACATCGATGAGTACCTCTAGAAACCCATGCCAAGGGACATGCGAAGGCTTCTAAAGAAGGGTGAGATGCGAGGCTTCCCTGGCATGATTGGAAGCATTGACTACAGGCACTAAACTTGGAAAAACTATCCAAGTGCGTGGCAAGGAGCTTATGGCGATAGAAAATGAGCCAAAAGTATCATTTTGGAAGCTGTGGCTTCATTTGATACATGAATTTGGCATGATTTTTTTGCTGTTCCAGGAGCTTAAAATGACCTCAATGTGCTTACCTAATCTCCAGTGTTCCATAAAGTGCTGCAAGTAAAAGCACCGAGAGTCACATATTCGGTCAATGGCCATAAATACGAAGGAGCATACTACCTAGTAGACGACATTTACCCAAGGTGGACAACGTTTTTCAAAACAATACCACATCCACAAAGTGAAAAAGAAAAACACTTTGCAAAATGTCAAGGGGGTGTAGGAAGGATGTGGAGCATTGTTTTGGTATCCTGCAAGCTCGTTGGGCGATTGTCAGGGTTGCTGCCAGAATGTTTGATGTTGAGGCTCTTCGATCTATCATGATGACATGTATTATTCTCCACAAAATGAGTATGGAAGATGAGTATGATTATGATGCCGTCGATGAATACAAACCGGACACGATGAACAACTCAAGAACATGTATCTATTATGCTCATGATCGCATTGAAGATCCCGTGCAACACGAGCCATTGGAACGGGATGGACGTTACAATCAATTGATCGTTGAGCGGTACACTTCAATGCAAGAGCCATACTGGCACTTAAGTCGTCAAAGTAACTTGATTGAGCACCAAATGGGATTGCAACAAGGTGAAGATAATTAAAATGAGCTTGTGGTGGAAAAATAAAGTTCTTAGTTTATTTAGTGTGTTTTTTTTTAAGTTTATTTGGTGAGTTTTTGTAATTTTATTTGGTGTTTTTTTTTAAGTTTATTTGGTGAGTTTATGTAATCTTATTTGGTTATTTTTTTTTTTTTTAAGTTTATTTGGTGAGTGTATGTAATCTTATTTGGTGTAATAAATAAGAAATTACATAAAGTACTACAAAAAAAAATAAGAAATTACATAAAGTACTAAAAATAAATAAGAAATTACATAAAGTACTACAAAAAATAAGAAATTAAA